CTCATATTTCTGAAGGCTGTTGCCAGGTGACTGTAAGCAGCCTCATGCCTTATGGAGAATGTGTAATGTATTCGGCAATTAGCAATCGCTGTGACTGGTTGGTCTGAAAATGTGTGTCCCAAATACTGTGGTTGCTTGGATTTTCACAGGCTCCTATTACAACTGTTGTAACTTTCTGTAGTTTTTCATTTCATTTGCATAAAGCTTTTATTAACTTTGCAATCTGGAAAATTTGTATTAAACTCTAAGAGAATCTCAGTGAACCGCATTATGTATAAGTCAAACTGTCATGAATGGGCAGGAAAAGAGGAAGGATCACAGCTGAATGAAGAATAATCCTTTGGTTTATCTCCCTCATCTGTGGCAGAATTCTGTTCAGTGTTTTCTGAAGGTTATCTCTATTGCTGACTGCCTGTCTTCACCCTGCCTTCTGAGAAGTGGAAGCCACCGATGTCCTTTCTATGTGCAGCCAATGTCTTGTGTGTAATTAGGCAAGCTTCAGTGCTGGCACTGGCGGCTTGTAGGTTAATTACTGAGAGCAAAGGAAGGCACACAGTCAGAGCTGGTATTGTGGTATTAATTGTTGCTAACAAAAACACAAGTCCTACAGCTACTGCCTTACTTAAGGTGTCCACCCAGTCATCTTTGGTCCAAAGAGGGGATTTTTTCAAACTATTCAAAAATAAATGCAAGTCTATTCTACTTAACTTTTTGTGAAAAAGATAGATTACACATGTTCGGGGTAAATCTTCTCATTGGCGATCATTTTCAGCACCATTTTACTATGACAGGTTATTGAAGAAGAATTAATCCCAATGGGAAGGCAGCAGGTGAAGAGTGATAGGAATTGAACACTTACAATCCTGTCCTATGTTTACAAAATAAAGACCAGCAAAAGCAAGTATCTGTGGTCAGTAAAAATGACCCTGAAGTGCATAGCAGACGTAACCATGCACGAAGCATCATGAACTATCCGGCACAGGCTACACGAGGGACAAGACATCATTTCTCAGGCCCTCACCCCCTCACAGAGGATGCGGTGATGACGTCATCGCCTTCCTGTGTCCTTCAGAGCCCATCATCATTTTCGGCATCCAAGAAAAATTCACTGAGCATGTGGACTATACTTATTACCAGTGATTATTTTTTTACTAATTTGATTTGTCATTTTCATCAGATGCTTTTGTCGTTTTCATGGATCCTGCTTTAAAGAGTCCATAATTTAATATGTCATCTAAATATGTTAATTGATGTTTCAGAGTGAAGATGAGAGGCCAGAAGAAAACCCGAGGAATCTGACTTGCCCATTTATGTTTCTTTGTTCTGTCTCTGTCTCTCTCTTCCACCCTCACCCTCAGGCTCCCAACACATTTCTCAAGGCTTTTAAAATAAAATCACATTTTTATTAGAATTAAACAAATGTTAGGTTTTAAACATTCACTCCTTTTTTTTCTTAAACATTCACTTCTGAGGTAAGCTTTCAATACTGTGTGTTCTTTCCTGTAACAGTGTAGGTTTCCTACAGACTAGAGATGCCATCCTTTGCATGTAACCTATACATTTTTCCCACATGCACAGGAAGTGTGAGACACACAAACAGAAAATTACCTTCTAATACAATCACTCATCCCAGTCTTCTGGCAAAAAGGGAGAAAAGCAATCTTTACCGCTTCTGTGAGAAGTGGCACAACTCAAAGTTCACGTAGAGTTGGAGGACATAAACAGTACTGCCGAGTGCCCAGGACAACAGACACTAGCTGGCAGTGAGGTGGTTCTCCCTCTCCCTCTCCTGGCACAGACTTCTGGAGTACAACCTGGAAGCCATGGTAGCCTGTCCTTTCAGAGCACCCCTCAGGGAGCTGCACGGAGAGATCAGGCACATCCACTGCATTTATGCTCTAGTTGTAAAAGCAGGCGCAGCGCCTCATTTTTGATGGGTGTGTCTCTGAAAGGGACAACACAGGACAGAAACAAACGCAGCACAACTGAGCTAAGTGTGAAGCGTTAAGAGTGACAGAAAAGCAAAGTTATAGAAAAGTCTGAATGTAGAATGGATTTATTTTCATGCCCTAAATTCTTTCAGTTCAAATACATGTACTGCTTATTAATAAATTCTAATCTATTAAACTTTAAAAACATAGCTTTTCTTCTTTATTTTCTGAATGAAAACATGCTGGATTTATTTCATATTTATCTTAGTTTCACAGTTAGAATGTAAAAGGATTGATAAAATTCTGAAGATTTATTTGTATTCTTCAATGCTACCTGCAGTTTACGCGAGGACATAACATACTGCCTGACTTTTACTTCCACTCTGTCAGATCCTCAGTGAGCGCAAGCTGTGTTCTCCTCTTCATAAAAGGATGTCACTTCAATGGCTGTGACTGAGCACAGGAGACAAAGATGACCCTGCTTTCAAATGCAATTTTGTGGGGAAAAATTGTAGATGAATATGGAAAGATGCTGAGGCTCACTGTTTTATTTTTACTTCTACTTATTTCAGTAGTTTTGTTCTACCCTGGCTCCATTGTGTCGTAGTATGGTAAGAAACTATGGAGGCTGCTTGCTCTCTGCTATTTTTGACTACTAGAATAGAACACAAGAAGGGTTGAATATTCACTACTTTAAAAGTATCATCAGCAAGTTTATACTTATAATGTATGTATTTATGCATCTGTCTATGTGTGTATGTATGTATGTATGTATGTATTTATTTATTTATTTTATATCTTCCTGGATATCTATATAATTTTATCTATCGCTTTATATGATAAAAATAAAATGGAGTATATACAAATGGTAAAATATGTTGCTTTAAGAAAAATGCAATAGAAAAAGAAAACCCAAAGTTCAGTGAAATGTCATTTACACAGACTGCCTTCTGCACTTATCTGACTTACAGTAACTAGGTTAATCAATGCATATTTTCTGTTACACAAAACACAATCATTAATCAACAGAGGAAATTGTGATCTTGAGGCTGTGTAGATAAATTATTTGTTGTAATTGATAAAGCATTCAAGACCTAACTTTACTAGAATTAATATTAGTGAGATAAATCATACATTAGTCAAATAAGTTTATTGCATCTATTTTAGTATGCAAATCAATAATGTCCTGCAAGCAGCCTGTGGCATTCTTTTAAGATGTTTCAAAGCAGTCTCATTTTTTTTTTGATAAATGTGAATTTATTTCTAAAGTTTCCGATCAGTATATAGTCTCCAGAGAAAAGTATTTCTTTCATGCTACCATGAAGACAAAGCTCTTTCATTTTCTGGGATTACAGACCAAACCATTGACAAAAACAAAGTCATTTTTATGTCGCTTTTCAACTCATTCTCTGGGGTCTGCCGTTAGCTCAGTTGTTTAAGTGCTTGCTCATGCAAATGCAGTCAGGTGCAGGATACTGCAGTTCAATCCTCACCTCCACCTGCCTTACCAGACCTGCCCTTCAAGCAGCCTGAGCCAGCTTAAAAAAAATCCTTATCCTTCTCAACTATTTGCACTTCTCACTTTTTTCCTTATACATTCAACCTTTTACATGTTTTGCATTTAAAAGCTTGTTTTATTTCTATCAAGTGAATATCAGTATTTACACATACATATTTATGTCCACAGATATCATATTATTATAATTATATTTTCTAATTCTAATCACAGATGGAAAGCTTGGTTTAGAAGACTTCTTCAGTGTGTGGTCTGCAGCATGAAGGGAAAAGAAGACCAAGAAGCTTGCCTCTTTCTGGGTCTTGAAATTGACAAACCAGTCCTTGAGTCCTTATTCTAGTAAATATTTTCTCATAAAAGTAGATAATACAAAAAAAATCACAATTGTGTCTTACATATAAGAAGTTGTGTTGATTAAGGAAGGCCATTATAGTAAAAATTTAAATGATCATTCAATATGTAAAATACGCATGCTCTCTGTAACTCACTATAATTTCTGCTACAGTTTCTTACACAATAGATGTGTAACAATATAGTTCTCACTGATCAATCTCAATGAGGCTAGCCTGAAACCTTAGAAAGCAAATTGATATAAAAACATTATCTTAGTTTGAAATAGAATTTTTAGTGAAAGATTTAGTGTTGTTCATCTTAGTACATGCTAAACTGTGAAATTGTAAAATATTCTGAGTGCCTCATGGTGCTGAACATCACAACCAGCTGTTCCTTCACCCGAGATTCACCATATCCCTCTTAGGTTCAAGACCCGAGTGCTTGATGAATGTTGGCTACACCAGGCAGTGTTTCCCCTGTGTGTGCCAGCCTTGTCTTAGCTTACTACTTCCTCCAATGGGACTCTGCTATTAGTCAATTGCTTGTAGCTGAATATTTTATTTAAACAACAGATTATTCATTTTAAAGCAAAAGGAGTAAGAAGACAAGAGCTGACACTGAGATTTCTGCTTTTGTGGTTCAGATATCTGCTATCTATTAATTTCTTTCTTCTGCTATACTATTCTTATGGTAGTTACCCAGCCATTTCATTAGAAAAAACACAGAAGAAAAGAACTTACACTTGGGCCCTTCTACCTTTTACCCTTTCCAAAGATTTTATATGTCACATTTTGGCTAAGTCTTAAAACTTCTATTAGTAGGTTTACATAGCATTTTCATTATGGGGCCTGAAGTCAGCTTCTGAACTGATACTTAATCCTATTAAGAAAAAAAAAAGATGCTGAAAGAGAAATCCTTTGTAAAACCCAGCATGAGACAGACCCAGGCATTAGCTTTCAGCTTCTGATAATGTGCTTTGTATAATGCTTTAGTCGAGGTCTTGTACCAAATTGGGTTGTTAGCCCTCACAGTAATTTTTAGAATTATTTTTACAAGCATATGAAAGGACAGCTTTCAAAGGCCACTGTAAATCTCAGAGGTCCCACCATGGCCACTGACAGCTGCTAAATGGAAAAGGAAGAACAGTAAGCAATGCAAATATGAAGTGATTTGTACAACTCCTGGTTCACCTGACAGAAGCTGATTGTAAAGTTACTTGCCTTGCAAACTGTAGATCTCCCCAACGCTGTTCTGACGGGTAATGTGATGCCAGTATGCACTGCGAGGAAGAGAGATGGATTTGGATAATGTCATTGGTTCAGTCAAGCTTGTCTGAAGCTAAAAAGAAAAAGAAAATGTGTCTTAGGTTTATGCCAAATAGTACTCTCAAATCTGCTCTTTTATGTGAGGGTCAAATGTGTGTGACTGTTTTAAAGTATAATTGTTATTCAAAAACTATGAAATAAACACTGGTAGACAATGTAATCTAACCCATGAACTAAAAAGACAACAAGGTAGTACAACTGATTCCAGGGAAAATGACAGTGAATTCAGCCACTGGATAAGGCTGGCATAATCCAAGAGAATTGCAGTTCTCTAGAAAAATTTGTTTGCATTCCAATGGACAAGGTTTTCCTCCTAGCTTTCTAGAATATGTAAGTTTAAAAAATGAAGGTGCAAGTTTCTTTGAAGTCAGATATCCCAGAATAAGATGCCTAATACTCTAGTTGAGTATGCAATCTTTTATGGACACCTCCTCCCACCTTTGTAATGCTGTTTTTTTCTCAAGCACATTCTGTCCGTGCTGGTGTCCTAGGGTCTTGTTCATATCAAATGAGCTTACCTTTTCCCCTCAGGGTGGCACATTTTTACTTAAAATGTACCAGTTACTGTTAGTTGAAGAGATCCACACCATATTGCACTCCTTGCTATGGCATATGATTAATTCAAAGAAAACAATAGTTTATATTGTACTTTTAAGAAATTAATTTTTAAGAATTTAATAAACAAAAATGATTTTATTTGATCTTTATACATTTTTTTCTGACACAACATGAGCAAACATTGACTTTTTCACAGAAATGTGAATCCTCTCAAGACTAAAATTTCACCCTTCCTTACAGCTTCATTCTTGTCAGAGTGGGGGTTATAGCGATTGTCTCTGTTTCCTATCTCATAGCCAGCTCCTCCTTCCACTCTCCCCAAAAGACTGAGGTCAGGAGGGCACTGCGATGCTGTACCAGGCCTTTTAAATCCACATTCCACTCAGAGGAGGTTAGATGTCAATAGATGGGACAGCCTTTGAGCACAATTAATTCATTTTACTTTTTCTAGTGACAAGATATTTTCAGAACAAAAATACCACACACACACAGGCTATTTTTAAAAAGTATTTATTTATTTATTCATTTGGTACAGGGACTTGCTATGTAGCTTGTAGTGATCTTCCGGTGTCAGTCTCCCCAGCACTGGGATCACAGGCATGTGCCACTTCACCCGGTTTCAAAGACAGCAGGTAGGCCTGGAATGGGTTCTGGGGCCAGCATGGTTGCAGTACCAGGAACTGAACTCAGGTCCTTGAGCTTGACATGCAGGTGCTTAGACTTCTGAGCTATCTCCCCAGCTCTATTTAAATTTAGTGTCACTGAAGGTTTTTTTTTTTTAAAGAAGACAACTCCAAAAAACAAACAAAACCCAATAATGCAACCCATTTTTATACTTCTCACAATTTGTTATATTTCAAATTTCCTCTTTACTCAAAAATAGGTGTACTATCCACATCCATACAGTACGTGTGTGTGTGTGTGTGTGTGTGTGTGTGTGTGTGTGTGTGTGTGGTATGAACAGGACAATATCTGGCTGGAATCAAGCAGAGGTTTCACAGTCTTCGAGATGCTTGTTAACAAAGCGGCTTTCTGGTTTGCTCCCAGCCTCATGTGCTGGGTAATCTGGGTACCCATTACCCATGCGAGGGCACAGCCAGTATCCTCTGATGGACTGCAGTCTGTCACCATCTACTGTATGAGACTAGAGGCACAGCTCACTTCTGAAGGTGTTGTTGGGAGAACAGATCTTTCCTTTCTACAGTTATTTTCCAATATGAGGAATAAACTTAACTAAACAGCTACATGTTTAATTTGGGTCAACAGGGTCCATTAAAAACATCAATTAATTTGTGGAATGAGTCTCATATTAGTCACAGTGCTGTATGCTGCCTATACTTTATTCTTTTAAAATCTATGCTTATTTGTTTATTAAACAAAAATTTTTCAAAATTGATGAAATTTATTTTCCTCATTCTGGGAAATAACTTTTCTTCTCAAAGTGGATAGTCAGTATTAAGAATCATGGAAAAACAATGAACATTTTTTGTTTTCTGGAAACAAATAATTGGAAACCAGTAGGGAATAATTCCCTCCACTTTTTCTGTCTAAATCATCCCGTATTGTTTTGTATCTAATGTTTCTTTAGTTCTTTTTCTTCATTGTTGTTGAGTCCTGATGTGCCTATAGCATTATTCTAGTTCTTTGTTTTCTCTTTATTTCACTTTTACATTACACTGTGAAAAGGGAAAATCAGTGTTCAAGACTTGCATGTGGATTTCCATAATTCTGAAATCTGTAATCAGGAACTCTGTGAAGGTTATGGACTTTTTGCAGATCTTGTCCAGCACATCTCAGATGCCAAAGTGTTTTCCTCAGCATTGGGGGTCACCATTCATGCCTATGTCTTTTTTTTTTCCATGCCTGTGTCTTAAAAATTGCTAAGGACTGGACTGTGAGCGCCCAATATCTTGTGCGAAAGCCTTGGATCTCAGTGTGACCATATGGGAAGATAAGCACTGAGAAAGTTAATCAAGTTGAAAAGAGGTGATAACATTGAAACCCTCATAGATCCAGATGGCGCCCTTAGGAAGCGGAGGAATGCTAGGGATTAATGTGCACCTAAAAAAAGGCATGAAAACACACAACGAGAAGATGCCTATCTGCTGGGCATGGTGGGGCACACCTGGAATCCCAGCACTCAGGAGGCAGAGGCAGGAGGATCATTGCATGTTCGAGACCAGTCCTGGCTACAAAGTGAGCTTAAGGCCAGAGTGAACTGCAAAATAAGACCCTGTCTAAAAAACAAACCAATCAACAAACAAACAAACAAACAAAAAAGATGGCTACCTGCCAGCCAAGGGGAGCCCAAACCTGCTGCAGTATGGAGTTTGAATTTTCAGTCTCTACAATTGAGAGAATAAGTTGCTGTTCATTAAGCTACCTAGCCTGTGGTGTTCTGTTTTGGAAACTTTAGCAAAATAATCCAAGTACTGTACGTTATCCATAAGCCAATGCAGAAATAAGGGAAGGAGAGAAGGGAGGACAGCAGAAGAATTGCTGTTTTATTTTTCTATTGAGTTTCCCATACCAGAAAATCTATGCAATATTTAAGCTTGGAAAATACTACATGAATGTCTGAATTGAAAGAATAATGTGTCAAATTGATCTGGAAGATTTTTTAGCATCATAGTAGCAAATATTTGAAAACATGGAGGGCATTTTATATTTATAGTTACATAAATATCTATGTTTATATCTCTCTGTCTCTGTATTTCTACTTCTGTATCTAAAATGTGTCTATATAGGTGAGAAAAATCATACTGTGTGATCAGTTCTAAGCAATTAGTATATTGTAAGGAATTAGACTATTCTGGCAGGTGACGCTGTGATGACATTTTTGATGGCATTGGCCACGGAAAAATTCCTCAAGAAGTACATAACGGTGCAATGTGTTGGGCCAGATCTCTGTCTGCATTTTACAGTGGAAACTTTCACACAAGCAGCACTCCTCCATTCACTTTTGGCATAGGTGAGGTCAGGCTTCCAAAAGGGTGCTTAAGCATAAGTAACTAAGTGCACTGGACAGAAAAGCAGTGCAACTCTTAAGACACTCACTAAGGCTTTCTGCAAAGGCTGGTCCCAGCCCTTTACTTCGATTCCTTTCAAACAATGCTTCTATCCTGGGGATATGGAGCAATGAACCCATGGGTGAGGTAACAGCTCGATCAAATTCTGAGTGAAGACACTTGTTTTCTGATTGGGAGCTGTGCATCTCCCAAAGCCCATAGGCAAAGCGAATGACTTAGCTCCAAAAGGTGCTATATAGGAGTAAAATTGATTCGGCCAGATGAGCGTCACACAGATAATGATTATGGTGTCCTCAACTGGACGATATAGGAGACCCATAAGAAGAGAAACTTACATTTACAGGATTCTCATAGGGCTAGGCAATGCTTTAGATCTCTTCTATTTAGGCAATAATTAAGAAATACATGTATTTGTAAATATTTGAGACCAACAGATGATATAAAAAATACCCCAGTACTATTTCCTGGAATTTCCCAATACTACTTCATCACCTTTTCTCCTAAACTCTGGGACTCTTTTGAACACATCCTGTTGAAAGGGCAATTGTCAGGAGACTTTTCTTCAGGGCTCATTCATGGCCTTGAATTCCCTGTGACAACTTTTGCTTCTTATTATTTTTCAGATACGTTTGTGTAATGAGCACCATTAAAAGCTCATTGTTTTTAAAACTTGGATATTGATCTTCTGCAGGCAAAATGAGCTCCCTCCCCAGCATATGGCATCATGAGACCATTCAGCCCTACCTTAGGAGGACGTAAGCAGCCAGGGAGAAGCTAGTGGGGCCAGGCAACTACTGGAGGTTTTAAGGTGAGAGCTACCACCACCTCTTTGTTATTTTACAAAAAATGATTCATTTGGATTAACTTGCTGCCTTTTGTACTTTGCTACTTTGAGACTTTTTTTCCCTCTGTAATGAACATGAATGCTAACATATTAATCGAAATAAAATTTGTTTGTATAAAAAACTTTGACTTTTCTTTTGCTCTGTGTCACCATAGTGTTTGCATAGAAATTTAACAAAAAATGGTAGCACTTGAAACACAAATGTATTCAATTGAGAGAGAAGATATTTAGCATTGAATTAGCATGTATGAGCCATTTTCCCTGTATCTGGCAATGTGAAAACTAGTTCCACATGTTGAACATGCATGGAAATTATCAATAAATGTGCCACCTCTGAATTGCACAGGCAAGGACAGTGAGGCACAGGGGGTCCCTTCATCACCGCAGCTTACTGCAAATTAAATGAGGAGCCCCTCCTTATCTAGAGTAGATAAAATAGCACAATGTGTGCCTTCATGTGTGAACATGGATGCATATTGTGTATACACACAAGCACACATATGCATCATAAAATCTGGTAAGGGATAGGCACAGCTGTCTCTGCATGAGATAGGGAGCTACAAAATATTCCAAAGATACAAG